TCTTATGGACAGGCCCCATACCTCTCACTAGGTGGGCAGCAACAAACCAACCTCAATACTTTTCTTGTTTTTGTCTCAGAGTGCTTTGTCAGGACTTGTTTGTTTGCTTGTTTTTAACACTTTATAGGATATATATCTATATATTGATTCTTGTCTTGTGTTTTCAAGGGATTTCTGTGTGTACAGATGTGGATGTCTCTGTATCTGTGTTTCTTTGTCGTTTTTTGTTTTTTATGTTTGTTCAATTCTTGTGTCTTTTATGGTTTATTTCATTTTGGTTTAGCTTGTCATTATTATTATTTATATGATATTATTGTAAAGATGGAAAGAAATACCGTGGATCTGGATGGGAGAAGTGATGGTGACCATCTTGCAGGAGCTGGGGGAGAGAAAACCTTAATCAGAATATGTTGTATGGAAAAAAATCCATTTTTCAATATAAGAAAAATAGTATGCAAAACTGAATGATTCACACATGGGATAGTTAATAGAATCTGATTCCAGACTTCTTCCTAATGTGAACCCAGCACTGATGGTGTGAGTACTTGTCTGCTTGACTGACATTTAAAATATGTTTCTTATTTTTGTGGGGTGGGAGCAGGGTGAAAAAGTTACTGTGCTTCTTCTCCAGGGACGTAGTTTAAAAATAACTAGACACATGAATTAACCTCTATTGACAATATGCTGTTTGAATAAATAAAAATTCTAATAGTTATATTATTTAACATTTTGTAGCTTATATAACATACATTTTATTAAGACAGCTTTTAGGTTATTTTTAAGCATTTGGAAATGATGAAGACATTTGATTTTCTCAATATTTAACTTAAAACAAATCACAGACAAAAAATGCATTTTAGGCTTTTATTATGCACAAAATGATCCCGTGGTTTGTAAGTTGGTTCATTTGACATTGAACATGAAACATTTGTAAGACAAAAATACTGAACCCAGGATTCAGAATGGAAACTCTGATATCATGAAAACAGAACTACATTTCAAAGGACTGGAGGCCTGCCAAAGCGCCTGAGAAAATGCTCAAGGCTCACATACCTACATCTGCTTGAAGCAGTCTTAGGAAAAATAAAAGCCTCTCTCTAGAACTACATGATGAAGGAAATCGGCCAAAGGAGAAATACTAGTGACACACAGCAATGTCTGAAACAAAACAAAGTGTTTGTGTGTGTTTGTTTGTGTGTGTGTGTGTATTTATGTATGTGTGTGTGTGTGAGTGGTGTGGTGTGTGTGTGTGTGTGTGGTGTGGTGTGATGTGTGTGTGGTGTGGTGTGTGTGTGTATGTGTGTGTGTTTGTGTGTGTGTGTATGTGTTTGTGTGTGTGTGGTGTGGTGTGTGTGTCTGCGTGGTGTGGTATGTGTGTGTGTGGTGTGGTGTGTGTGTCTGCGTGGTGTGGTATGTGTGTGTGAGTGGTGTGTGTGTGTGGTGTGATGTGTGTGTGGTGTGGTGTGTGTGTGTGTGTGTGGTGTGATGTGTGTGTGGTGTGATGTGTGTGTGTGTGTGTGAGTGGTGTGGTGTGTGTGTGTGTGGTGTGTGTGTATGTGTGTGTGTTTGTGTGTGTGTGTATGTGTTTGTGTGTGTGTGGTGTGGTGTGTGTGTCTGCATGGTGTGGT